CTGAGGCGGAAGGATCGCCGGAGCCCAGCAGGTCGAGGCTGCGGTGGCAGGAAGCGGCCACTGCACTCCAGTCTGGGCGACAGTGAGACTCCAACTCAAAACAAAAACAAAAGAATGGATGTAAAATGGCCTGGGTGCAGTGGCTCATGTCTATAACCCCAGCACTTTGGAAGTCCAAGGCAAGAGGATTGCCTGAGTCCAGAAGTTTGAGATCAGCTTGGGCAACATAGCGAGACCTCATCTCCACAAAAATGAACCAGGCATGGTGGTACATGCCTACAGACCCAACTACCTGGAAGGCTGAGGTGGAAGGATCTCCTGAGCCAAGGCTGCAGCGAGTCGTGAATGTGGCTCTGCACTCAGACTGGGTGATAGAGTGAGCCTCTGACTCAAAAGAGACAAAAAAAAAAAAAAAAAAGAAACAAATTTTAAAAAGAATGGATGTAAAATCCAAGGATACCTAAAAACAGTAAGTTGTCAATAATTGGTCACTGCTGTTATTTAACAACACTGTTAACTTTCCACATCACCAATATGTGTTAATTTCTTCTGAACATTACTATGGTTAGACAACTGAGACTTTCATATATTTCTTGCATCTGTATTTAATTTGCTCAAACATTCCAAAATAGTTCAGAAAACTTGTTCCTTTTCTTCCTAGTCATTTAACTTTATCTTCATAGGAAACCTCCACATCAAAAATTAAATTGACTTCGATAGCCGAATCTCAAATTATAGGAAAATTGAAAAATAGGTCAAGTATTTCCACTTCACCAGATAAAAATGTTTTGGACTCCATTTTCACAGCAGGAAGTAAAGAGAAAAATGATTTTTTAAATTATCACTTGGAGTCACAACATTCTCAGAGACGGTTCTAAAAAACAAAGAATACCCAAAAAAATGGTACATTGAACACCAATCTGAGATCTGTCAGCTCTGACAACTTAAGATGCGAGAAAGGACTTCTGAAAAAGATTTGGGAATTTGAGGGAAAGTAACACAAATTAAAGGGAAAGGCAGAGAAAACCAGTGGAAAAAAAGTAATTTGGTGCTCTGAAATCTAACTCTGGTTTTCCTAATCACGGCACCATCAGTAGGTAATCTTTCCACTTTCTTTACTCACCTTCTGGAAAAAGCATCGGAAGCAAACATCTCCCTACATCATACAGAGGTTTCATTTGGCTCATTCCACATGGGCCACACAACAATCCCGTCTTCAGAACAAAGTAGAATGGGTTCCTCTCTCCAGACACAAAGAATAAGTGAGACAAAAGAAAATGACACTGATCTGTCACTGAGTGATGCTGCTATTCGATCGAATGTTTGCTCTACTGCAGTCATCACAGCCCAGCTTTACACGTGTGAACGCAACTCCTTGGAAGAAACACACTATGGTATTTTTACTGGTATGGAAACTGAGGCCCACAGAGGTCATTTAAAAAATACTGCCTGAGATCACACAGGGACAGAATTTTAGAAATTGCATTTCAGTATAGTAATTTAGAGATATGGAAGAAAATAATAATAGAAAGACTGGCAATCAGTAGGGGATTCCAACACGGCCGACTTCATGTAGAGGACTCAGTGTGCAGTCTTCACGATAACCTGTAGGGGGTGTTATTGTCCCCCAATATGTAAAATAAGGCGCTGATGAAGACACCTGCCAAAGTCACAGCAAATGAGAGGTGAGCATGGTCTCCAGCCACTTTCTGAGGTTTTAACCACCAAGCTATCCACAATTTCAGGTCAGACCCTTGAGAGTGACCCGGCATGAAAATAAGGCCTTGGGAAGGAGAAAGGATTCAGAAAGAGCAGGACAGGAGAGCCAGAAGTAGAAAGAGAAGAGTGAGAATCCAACTTTGAGGGACGGGAAGGGACAGCCCAACTAGAACCCAGATTAAATGTTATAAGTAGTCACTGCAACACTATCTGGAGTCTGGTTCCTGTTTCCGTCTCTCACATGAAGCTAGCCATCCCCAGGACTTCTCTTGGTTCTCTTCTTTTTCCATGCCTTTTCTCCACAGGATCATCACTTCCACGGCCTCAGTGATCACCCCTAGGATAATATTTCCTAAATCTCTCGATTGCCTCCTCCCCACATCTCCACAATGCCTGAACTCAAGTTTTTACCTGTGTATGGATTTCTGTTTAGATGACAATAACTACTCAAGTCCGGCCTTCTAACTGGAACCTCCATTTTTCCATCTATCAAATTCCTACCCATGAAAAAATGGATATTTGCTAAGTAGGGAAAAAAACAAGACAAAAAAAAATCTCTGTAGACTACGCTGAAGTTATGTATATTAACTGCCCACCATTCCATATAAAATACAAAAAACCAATAACTCCAATATAAGCAACAATGTGGAGAAATGAATACTATCACATACAGAGATAAGGGTAGAACTATCGCAACAGTTTCAGAGGAAATTTGACAATACTCTATTAAGCTAAAAATATATTTATCCGCTGACCTAGGATTTTCACTTCTAGAAATTTATCCAACAGAAAAACCCACACCGTTATGCAAGAATTACTTCTAATAGCAAAACGTTAAGATAATTTAAGTAGTTATAAAAATAAACTGTGCTATACCCAAGCTATAGAACATGGTGTATCCATAAAAATAATGAAACAGGGTAGGTGATGACAAAGACAACGGCTAAGAAGCCTTCCAGGAGCTAGGCATTGTTTTAAGTATTTCGCAAGTATTAACTCATTTCACAAAAATAGAGACATAAATCCGCACATGCTTCTGGGGATCCACACTCACCCCGCACTGAGAAATGAAAACAGGCCAACGGCACAGCGAGGCGGCATGAACTAAAACATACATGACTTTAAAAAGGAAAAAAAGGCAGGAAAAAACCTCTGCACATGCTTCTGACTGTCCTCAACAGCGGTTACCCTTAAGGAGAACATGTGTGTTCAGGATGGGAAGCAGAGTGGACTTCCTCACTTTCATCTCCTTTATACTGTGTATATGTGTTTAAAGCACATTTTAGCATTTAAAAACCACGGCAAAGTGTGTATATGTAAAGACTGCACAGAAATACATGACATTTAAAGGTGGTTAGATTTTGTATCTGTTTTCAAATATTCTGTGTTGCTTTTACTAATTTGTTTGTTTGTTTTTGTTTTACTAAACAAAACCTTTACCCCTCTTTCAAGATCCATCTAAAATGTAATCAACTACCATTGGGCGACATGGTAAAGTATATGGATTTTGAAATCTCATGGTCTTGGGTTTGCGCCAGTCCGGTTACCTAGTATAATCCAGCAGGCACCGCAGGGCGAGTCACTGAACCTCACCCAACCTTGGTTTTCTCACTTATTATATAGAGACAATGCCACCAGCATCAAGGCCTTGCCTGAGGATTAAATAACATCTACAAAGCCTCTAAATGCAGTGATCATCAGGACCACTATTAACAAATCTCCCACATAAAATCGTCCTCCTTCCTGGGAATCTTGCCTAGTTCTGCCAACCTGGTATCACTGCTCACTCCTTGGTAACTGCACGAGCTTTGGTTTTTGCTAATAAAAAAGTGTATCACATTTTTCTGCCACATTTGGTGACTTGTCTTATGACCATCTTCTGGATAGCAGTAAAGGAGTCTGACTCCTTGATCTCCTGTCATTCTGACGAGCAAACAACCTTAAAAGCAATACTCCTACAATGTGACTTTTAATTGAATTTTGAGAAAAAACTGACACCAACTAAATAGACAGGCGTGAAGCAGAGGTTACAGCCAACAAGAGAATCCACACACTGGCTGACTACAGGACTATACAGATATGCTCTTCCAGCCAAACAAAATCATTAGCAAGTCTAACTGTGCATTCAACAAGCCAATAGACCAAATTGATCATGCCCAAATTGAAGCCTCCCATCTCTGCTCTATCCAAGTACCATGCTCAAACCTTTCCATTTTTTTTTTTACTCAGAAGCAAAATAAAATACCTGAACTGAAAAGTTTATCTTTGTTAAGAAATATTCCTAATAACACATTTACAATTTGAAAATTCCTTTGGTGCCAGGAGCAGTGGTGCACACCTGTATTTCCAGCATTTTGGGAGGCCGAGCACTTTGGGAGGAAGATTGCTTGAGGTCAGCAATTTGCGACCAGCCTGGGCAACATAGTGAGACCTCATCTCTACAAAAAAAAAAAAAACTTAAAAATCAGTGAGGTGTGGAGGTGCATGCCTGTAGTTCCAGGTACTTGGGAGGCTGAGGTGAGAGGATCACCTGAGCCCAGGAGGTTAAGGCTTAAGTGAACCATGATTGTGCAACTGAACTCCAGATCCTGGCTGAAGAATGAGAGAGAGAAAGAGAAAGAGAGAAAGGGAGAGGGGAGGAGGAGGAAGGGAAGAGGAGGAAGGGAAGAGGGGAGGAAGAGAGGGGAGAGATGGAGAGAAAGAGAGCAAAAGAAAGGGGCCTAGGGAGGGAGGGAAGGAAGGGAAGAGAAAGAAAGGAAGGAAGGAAGGAAGAGAGAGAGAGAGAGAGAGAGAGAGAGAACAAAAAAGAGAGAGAGAAAGAAAGAAAGAAAGAAAAGAAAGAGAGAAAGAAAGAAAAAGAGAGAGAGAAAGAGAGAGGGAGAAAGAAAGAGAGAGAGAAAGAAAGAGGGAGAAAGGGAGGGGGAAAAAGAGAAAAGAGGAAGGAAGGAAGGAAAGAGAGAGAGAGAGAGAGAGAGAGAGGGAGAAAGGGAGGGGAAAAAAGAGGAAAGAGGAAGGAAGGAAGGAAGAAGAAAAATCTCCTTTGCCCTTTAGGACAGAATGACGGGGGCGGCGGGGCGGGGGGGGGGGAATAAGTGCAGAGGTAACAAACACCTTGTGACCCAGAGCCCACTGAATTCCAATGGCTGGGGGGGCAGGGGAGACTAAGATTTCTAGACTTTCAAAAACAAGTAAGCCTCAAGGAACCTTCACACAGGCGAGGATGCCATGAGGTTTAAACATAAAAGGGAGCCCCCCGAGTTTTAAGGTTAATATTTAAAAACCAAAAAACTCGCGCCGGAGGGACGCCGCCTCCCAGAACCCTCGCGTGCCGTCCCCGCTCGCAGCCACCTGCTTCCCAGTCTGGATACAGCCAATCCAGGCCATGTCCTGCTAACGAGAAGTAAGAAACCTGTTTTACACGGTTCCTCCGTCAAATATCTACAAGACATCTTGCTAAGTGCTAAACAAGGATCAGGTTTCCTAACAGCGTTCTGGGGAAAGAGAATTCTCATATACATGACATTATGTGGCCCCTCACTAAGGAAGAATAAAGGAATCTGTGATACACT